GGTCGTTACGCTCATCAGCATGCAGCACTACCTCAAAACTGCGCTCGTTATCCAAATCCAGCATTTCAACTTCAATCCACTCCTCGAGCGGCATTAAAACATCAGCAGCAGCAGCAGCCGCAGCCGCAGCCGCTGCCGCATCCACGCACAACTGCCGCTGTTCCACAGCCAAGGCAACAGCATCATGCTAAAATGTTTGCGCATTGCGACACACGCCACACCCCAGCGCGAATTCCTCACCCGTTGGTGGATGTATGACATGCAATGGACACTCATCGCCCATCAGTTGTTTAGCCTTCGGGCCAGCCGGACATTGGGGCAGCTTGTTTTTCGGTATATTTGTGAGGCGCTGAAAATCGTCGTGGCAAGTGTCGCAAAAGTGTGTAGTGCCAAAGCAGAAAAATACCGCGACCGAGCAGCAATAGCGACATTTATATTCTAGAAAATCTGTGCCATGTTTGGGACACATTTGTGCACGAGCCACATCCGAACAACCGCCGCAAACGAGTTCTTGTGGATCGAATATTTCGCCAATTTCAGCATCGCAACGCGCCTCACCGCCATAGTAGGCCTTCTGACACTTGAAGCACACATAGTAGGCATAGCGATCCATGGCCAAGTTGGTGACATCCTTCGAGTCGGTATCTTTGACGATGCCCTCATATTTGAGTCTAAAAAAACATAAAGAAAAATTACATAATTTTTGGTATTTATTGTGATTTTGAAATCACAATCAATCACTGACCGCATTAAAGCCTTGCGCTTAACATCCTGCTTAAGCGAATTAATGGGCTCCAAAATATCACCGAGCAAGCTGTGTTGTATATCCGCCTTGCAAATGGGGCACAAAGAGAAGCCAAACGTAATGCGTGGTCCAGCCCAGCGCCGCTCTATGACAGCTTTGCAGCAATGATGGTGGAATACGTGGCCACACTCCAACTAAACTCAAAATTTAATGAAATTTAATAAAATTTTATAAAGCTCGCACACTAAATCTCCTCTCCAAACCCACCTGTATGGATGGCGCGCATGAGAGTGCCTCCACAAAACATATCATGCACATATCGTCCGCATCCTGCGTCAACTTGGGCTCATGCAGCTCCTCGGCGATTTTATTTTCACGTGCATGGCACACATGCTGCAGGCAGGGCAAGCATTTCTTCTCATTGGCCACACCGCCGCATGGATGGTCGCACGATTTTACTTTCATGCACGAATTGGCCGCATGCTCTTGACACTGTGCATCAGCGCAAACGTTTCCAATTTCCAGCAGACCTGAATTGCCGGTAATGCCACAGAAACGACAACGACCAACTGCCTCCTGGGGTCCGGATATTATGGTGTGACTGCCATCGCGGAATTCGACCATTGCTTTTAGTGTTTTCGAATCGGCCAAAGCGAGCAGCCAGAAAAGTTTGGTGCGGCCACAGGATTCGTGCAGCTCTACGCGTATAGCTTCTTCTTCCTCCTTGCAAACCTAGAGAGCGAAATATTAGTTTATTAAAATGTAAATAGCAACACCACAAAAAAAAAATGTTTTTGTCCGACGAGACTAGTCAATAGACATTAGGTCGCTGAATCCGAATCTAAAATAAGGATACTTAAGCTGGCTAATTTTTTCTTTCTTACCTCAAAAACCTTAGCAAAATAAAATTGATTTTTTTAGGTATAGTAAAAAAATTTGTAAATCTGACTTGCTATTTATATAGTTTTGGTTCGTGCTCCGAACAATATTTGTTTTGTGGGGTTCCGTAATTGATGGAAAATGTAACAAATCCTCACAATGAAACTCTTTTGTTTGGCCAGTAAACGAAACTAGTCAGTCCTAAAGCATATTGGGTTGCTGAATTCGAATCTGAAGTAGAAATTCTGAAGTTGTTCGTACAGATTTTCGGTCGCTCGGAATCAAGAAAGGTGGTGTTTTTTAACCTCAAAAAAGTCTAAAAAAAACAGCCTTTTTTTTGGAGATTAGACCAGGATTGCGTGATTTAAAATCCTTTTTGATTTTAAAATCCTTTTTGATTTTAAATTCGCTAATAATTAAGAAATCTATTTGATTTGTGATTTGATTCGTCAACCAAATAAAAAATAAAATTTATTTGTGATTTGATTTGTAGAGCAAGTCAATATGATTCACCAATTTTTAGTAGGAAAATCACGAATTAAATTAAGCCGCTCGATGAATCAAATTACAAATAAAACCTAGTTTTTATGAAAATTAAAAACCTGGCACAAGAATCCAATCACAAACAAATTATATGTTTTATTTGTCCGTCGAATCAAAGCCCCAAAAAAAATATTATGAAGCTCCAAAGAAATGAAAAAAACATTGTCCGTCAAACGATACCGCATCTAAGGGCTTTATTCGAATATTGGCTAATTTTTATTTTCTAATCCGGGAAAAACTTCTATATCCACACACTTTGTAGAAGGTAAAACGAGCTATTTTTTTGATTTGAATTTATATTTCAAACTCGAACTCAGCGATCCAAAATCGATACAAATTGGCAAGTCTCGGGCGTGGAATAAAGAAATACAAAGGGTAGAAGTATACACCAAGCTTATCGGGCCTTCAGAACTTTAATCAGCTTAAACAACTCATAGCTGAAGGGGGCGCTGCAACCTAAAGAGCTCTGTACGTTTGAAAAGCTTGGTGTAGTATTCCACTGGATCACCATAGGTTCAATAATCGTTAAATAATACGCAGAAAGATGAATCTTAGATACCATTTAGGGTACGTACCCTTCGATCCACTATTTACTCACCGTTCGCTTATGCATTCTTGTTTTTCGATTCAAATGCAAAAATCGATCGCAATCGCCACACAGTGAACCACAAGTTTCGCACTGAATTATGGCAGCAGTTTCACCATCGTCGTGATTGGTGCACATTGGACGCGTATCGGAAACCTTGGACCACTGACCGGACGATAGTTTCTCTACATGATCGCGATCGAGCACACAAAGACTGGCCAGCGCTAGCCACAGTGTGGCGGTCTTCACACAATGTTCAGGATTGCGGAAAATCTCATCCAAACGAGTCAAATTTAATACCGACTCAGCTATGGCTGCCTTGGTGATCTGAGACCATTTATCGCTTAATTTGCCCTGTTGAATACAAATAAAGTTTATATAAAATTTATTTTTAATTCAATTTTCAATACTCACACTGGCCAAATCGCGCACCAGACTGATGATGCTTTCCGCCTGCTTGGTTGAGATGACACCATTCAAGAACCAACGCTGATTAAGATTTTTCTTCGTTTCTTCTCTTATTCGCCTTCAATGTTGAACGCCCCAGCTCGTATTCGCTCGCTTCCACTTGTTGATCGAATCGAAATGGATGTGTTTTGCCTGCAAATTCGCCGGCATCCCCATCTCCGCCGCCCAGCTCGCCATCAGCATTTACCTTTGTCTTCTGCGTTTGCTTCAGTAGATGTACCGACAAATCAAGTGCATTGCAGAGACGTACAAATGAAGGTGTTTTCTCGAGACTCGGTTTGCTTGAAGTACACTTCACCTTAACTTGCAACTGCAGCGCCTTGGCGATGACTGCCAAAAATATATCCAGCAAACCCAAGCGATTCATATCGAAATCAGCAGCATTCTGGTGTGCAATATTATAATCTGCCGGCGGCAAGCGCTGTACGCCCATCAACTCGGCAAAGCTCTCCGGTGAAATTTCGGGCAGTATGCGTCGCAGTAGTGCCGCTACCTGACGCTGTACGCGATCACTGCCTGTATGTAGCAGCGTCAACAAATCCTTGAGTAGCCCATACTGATGTGACAGATAGGAACGGCCCACAACGCTGCCGGATAGCGCCAGCACCATGCTTAGCATCTCGAAACAGTAAGTGTCGGGCGCACGATAGCGCTCCGAACTAGACTCACTCTTCGGTTCACCCGTCGAGGTGGCAGATGTTGTGGTGGCGTGCGCATCCTTGAAACAATTCGCCAAATTTACAATTTCCCAATCTTCTTTGGCGCGATGCGCTTCCTTCTTGATCGCGTGCACAATATGCACAATAACCTGTTTCTGCAGATGCGAGAGCTTACTACGCGAAAATAGTATACCCACCATGTGTTCGCGTAGGTCCAGCGAGTCGGCAAGCATTGAATTGCCGCTAGAATCCATGCCGAGTATAGAGTGGTGGCCTGCCTCGGTGGTTGCGGTGCTGATCAATTTACCAAAGACTTGACCTGCAGTTGAAAGCGTTAAATAAATAAGCAAATGTTTTCATATTCTCAACCCCCACCCTCTCCCCCCCCTGGAATGAGGAGAACTCACCCGTTATTAGCCGGAAGACGCGCAATGTCTCAGCCTCACAGATTTGTTGTTGTATGCGCACTGCATTTGTTAGCTTCAAATTGGATTTGAGTGTGTGCAATTGACCTACTGTTGCGCCGCTATTCCCACCCGCACCGACCGTTGCTTGTAGTCCACCATATTGCTCGTTCAATTGCTCGTCCAATCCGCTCATGACGCTCGGTAGCCCAAGTAATTTGATTTGACGAACACGCAATGTATTCTCTGGTCCATGAAACTCCAAGCGAAAGTGTGTGTACGACTCGTTTGTGATTTTGGCGGATATCCAAGCGCACGCTTTTGGATCAACGTCCACGGATTTGATTAGATTTGTATCACCCAGCGATTGGCCAGCATAAAATACAACATTCAACACCTTGTTCTAGAAGGAAAAGTGCACAATGCATTGTAAAAAAAAAAAGTTTAGAATTTTTCAATCATTTGCTCTGAAAGAAGATCATTAATTTAGGCGGGCATACAACAACTAATAGACACGCTATCTACTTTTACTTACTAAAATGCTGTAAATGATAAACTTTTGATTTCAGAAAGAAATTTTTTCTGAGCAGAAAGAAATTTCTAAACAATTTTCGACGAGTCTTCCTAAAGTTGTAGCGTCTCTTCTGAGTAAGAAGTATGCTTTTGATTTCAGAAAGAAATTTTTTCTGAGCAGAAAGAAATTTCTAAACAATTTTCGACGAGTCTTCCTAAAGTTGTAGCGTCTCTTCTGAGTAAGAAGTATGCTGGCCGAACCAATGGCCAGAGGAAGAAGCCCAAGGAATTGGAAATTTAGCCTCCTCTTAAGCATAAGATAAATATTTTTCACACTGTATGGGTAGGCAATTAACACCATCCATCGTCGCTCTACGAATACCGCCTTAGTGGTCAACCACTACTAAACTAATACAGAAACATATGTGTGTGCGGATGAAATGAGAAGAGAGCCCTCAAAGACCTACTAGGTCGACGGTGGCGTAACCAAGCTTTTGCCTTCTATCAGGCCTTTATCCAACACGACGAAGGACAATGACTGGGTGTATACTACACTCGGAGATTGTACCATGTCGGACCCGAAGAATTGCGAAAGCTATTATATCCGATAATTTAAATTGCAATCTTCGGCGGACAAAGTCCAACGACATGTCACCAGAAGGCAGCGCGAACCGCCAACACCAGCGCACCATTTGCGTTCAGTGCAGTGACAGTTCTGCTGGTAATCGAAAACGTTGGCCAGGGTGGTCTAATGCCTCATGAGAAGTAGGTTTCAGTAGCTTTCTTTGAATTATCTCTGTCTGAGTGGACGAAACTCATCGATATATTGCAAGATCAATCCAGAAACAGAGAAGAATTAAAAGGGATTTCCGCTGTTTAGGATCCTCTCTCCACTGCTGTTGGATTTGTATATATATGTATGTATGTATATCGAAACTCCCTCCTCTGTTTCAAAATTAAAGACTATCTCTCACACCTTTCCTGCTTCTTAACTGCCCCGACCGTAACACTTTCTTTTTTGCAATCAATTGCAGCTCTTTTACCAATGTTCACCACAAGCTGATGTCTGGAGTGAGTTTCTCTTATCTTGTACGCTGACGATTGTTCAATATTGGCGTATTGAATTGATGGCCTGTCTTTGAAATGAAATGGCTATATCTTTGATCTTTCTCGTTTTCTCAGTGGACGGAGCCTTACAGCTCACGCAGGAAGCATACGAACATAAACTTACTAGAAGTAGAGTCCGCTACATTAGGAGGCGTAAATACGAAGTCATGGACGAAATGCAGACCTAATTCCCATGTAACTCTGGCGCAACTAAGTCTGTTTACTGCAACTTACTTTACGCTCACCCACCCGGCCTCGGCGCCGATATAACCAGCACATGCGCGGATTCCTTACACGGGGACTAGGAGTGGTTTTGCTGATCTAGGCAAAAAAAAAAATAGATCTAACTTCCAAACGCTGGTTGAGAATGCAGATGAAAAACGGCACCTGAATCGTTCACCATAGTTGTTGTTCAAGAAATTTTACTTATTGTTAGTGTACTTAGGGCTGCTTTCACTGTGACAAGCGAGAGTAAATTCGTCACTGTGAAAACAGCTCATATTCTTAAAAACTAAATTCATCACTAACCTGTATATCCCGGCTATTGTCGATGTGCACCAAAACCACTTTGCACGAATATGACAACTTATTCATCGATATTTCAATGATCTTGCATTTGTTGCGATCCTCCTCATCACTTTCCCAAAAAGTTTCGGTCGAATTATCGGTCAACGATTCGGCCATGGCCTGACGCGATGACACCGTCACCTCAAACATGCCATTCAAATCGGAGTAGCATATAATTTTAGCACCTGCTGGCGGGCCACCTGCAACACCCACAACCGCACCACCAACGCCTCCAACACTCTGCAAATTATGTTCCACATCATGCATACCCATTGAGTTGCCACCACCCTCCACTGCTACCGCAGCAGCCATGCCCATGCTCGATACAGCCATAACATCATCTTGCTCATCGGATTTCGAAAGTATCTTCGAAATATTACCGAATACATGCGAATTGTGTAGAAATTGATGATCCGTTTGGCGAAAGCGTATGCCGAAGCATTGTATGGCGATGCGTTGCAATGGTGAGCCAAGTGGCAAATAGAGTGTGAGATCGGCAACGGATTGTAGGAAAACGTGCAAACTTTGCGTAATTAAATGCGAGAAACGACCACTGATCTGCGTGTAGGTGACCGGGTGCTCCAGTGCTGGTTCAGCATCTTCGTACTTGCCATCGATCATCTCAATTGCCGAAATAGTCAGCGAACTAACAAACCACCACATCAGATCGTGCAGACAGATGCTCTGTGTCACCGAACGCAGCAGCCAATTGAGTGCTTGTAGCGAATAAATGCGGCAGGCGGCAATGCGTAGACTGCGTTTCATGGCATAGCGTAGTTTCTCCAAATCATGTTTTTGTGTAATAAATGCCATGGCCGGACGTTGGAGTAATACGTTCACCTGTTGTGACAACTCCAAATCTAGCAAAGTGGATGATGAGTCCTTATCGCGCACACCGCTGGGCTTTAAAGTGACATTACCAGCCGAATAGTTATATTCTTTGGTCTTGACGCCACCACATTCTGTGTTCATTGGCTTTTCATCGTTTTCATTACTCTCCCTCTCCGGTTGTTCGAATGAATGCTGCTGCGACTTTGTTGCACCTACACCGCCAACATCTGCATTGACCAGTCGCTGCACGGCTGGATGGACA